CAGCAGGAGGGGATGGTCCTCACAGTTCACACCCACCCGGCCGTGGGGAGGACTCGCTCCAGCTGCCCTGTGCCCAGCCTGCTCTGCTGAGCTACCCGGCCCCGGCGTAACTGCATCTCTCAGGTAGGCACCAGGTGGAGTTACGTCTTGTTCTCTACTTCCCACACGCTTTAGTTAGCATATGTACTTTTCTGAAGGCATGCACGCGTGGAAAATAAAGGGGTTAGATGGGAGTAACTGCCTGTCCTCACCATGGGGACAAGTCCTGAGGCCTGACTGGGAGCTCTGGGACAGCTGGGAGCGGGCAGAGCTGAGGCACAGCTTCAGAGACAGGGAGAGCACGTGCGCCAGAAAGTCACCTGCATGTAGGTAAGTGATAAACCCCTGTGTCCCTACCACAGAAAGAAACTCCTCCTTTACAAACATACGTGCCAAGACCTCAGGGGTAATTTCAGGCACTGCAATGCTTTCAACAGCTCTGGTCTCAGTGCAGGAGCTGGAAGCGCACGGCCTTCTCCCCACGCGTCTGCCTCCTGCACATTCATTTACGCTGCAGGCACTCTGCTGCTAGGAATGTTTCTGAAAACCATTCAGTTCCTTTTGGGACAAAATTTTTAGATGTGCCCTTCATTTAAAGGATCATGGAAGCTTCTGTCAGTCTTTTTGAGAAAACAGGTTGGAAAACAGACCCTATCGCGTCGGATGGGCGGAAGGGAGGGAGAAGCGAGCTCACCATTGGGGATCTCGGCAGCGATGTTTTCTACTCCTCTCTTCACAGTCCGAGGTCGACCTTGTTCCGTAGGAGTTGAGCCCCAGTCATCGGAGGTGGCAACCGGGTGGTAGTGCACCATCAGCTTGTAAACAAGAAGAGCCTGTCATTAAGCTGCGCTGCATACCATGGTTAAGCAGAGGAGAATTTTGCTACAACAGCTGGTAGGTGATACGGGGTGGTACCAGACCGCGATGTTTAATTGCGCTTGTACGAGCCCTTTGCGCAAAGAGAGCGAAAGATGTGTTGAAAAGAAACGATGAGGTGTGAAGCAGACTCTCTGCTGGCGTTGCCCTCTGCTCTGGCACAGCTAGGTGAGGGGAATGCCGTTTGGACAGAACTGATTTCTCAGCAGACATGGTTAAAAGAAACAGCATAAAGCCAGAGCCTAAAGACAGCATAAAGCCAGGCCCTCAAGAGAAGTGAAGGGATGTCCTTGCTGGTCAACACACCAGGCCCTCCTCACCTTTGGGTTGTGCAAGATAATGATTTCCCTGCTAGGGGACTCCAGTTTCTTCTTCCACTCATCCAGGGTCACAGCAATCATGTAAGCTTCCTGAGGAAAAGAACACCCTCCGTCAGTCAGCTGAAGGTATTCCCATGAATATTCAACCGCTTGGGACGTTCCCCACCCATTTTATGGTATCTGTTATCAACGCGCCTTGCGAAAGAGGCAGGGAAATCAGCCAGGTCAAGCTGGAGGAGCAACAGGGTCACCTGAGAATCACCTGCTAGAGGGTTTCCAAGAAGCCCCCACTTTAATTGCAGCAGCAGACTTCCCTATCAATTTAGAATTGTATTTTTTGGTACATCAGAATACAGATTATTGTAAAGATGTATATTTTTATACATGTATCTATATATCTCTACACATATATCTTTCCAAACAAGTCTCCAGCCATTAACAGTAGAGACCACTGAAGTCTCTGACGCTACATAGCACTCAGCGGGTCCCTGCAACGATGATTTCTCTTTCTTGCATTCACGACTCCCTTGGCGTTGGTGAAACCATGAGCGTAGCGAGGATGATTCTCACGAGGAGAATCAAACTGAAGTTAGAGCAGGCAGGGTCAGGAAAAAAAACAGAGCAAAGCTGTGAGAGCAAGGCTGCAAGCAAGGCCAGAGCCGCGTGGCGTGCTGAGAGCACCCGGGCGCTTAAACGTGTAGCGGGAGGATGCTGACACGGCTGGATGAGGGCAGGAGGAAGGGGAGGCTGCCCAGCTACAGCAGGCTGGGAGGGAGACGGCGGCAGCCTTTACAGTTATGTTAATCAGCTGCGAAAACGCCATGCCAAAGCCTCTTTTGAGTTCATGTCCTCAGGCGTGACTGTGGTGCCAGTTGCCCTGTAGGAGTTTGGGACATCAGGGCCAGTATTTGACAATGAGAAGCCAAGATGCTTCTCGGCAAGATGGATGCTACCAGGAAGGGTGCGTTTACCTCCAGTTCTTTGCTGAAGGTCTCCGAGTAGGGAATATACTTATTGTCCTTGTCTCCCTTGTAAAACCAGGTGCAGCGACGCACTTCAGATACCTCCTCCTCCCAGTACACTGCGACACGCTGCCTCTTCTTCAGATGCACGTCGTACCTACCCCCTGATGTTGGGACAACCAGATCTTCTTTGTCTCTCCCTGCAGGAACCAAGGCCTGAAATTAATCGCGAGAGGACCAGAAAGGCATGCTACCAGAAAGCTGTATACCATGCCAGAACAGAGGGATGAAGCTGGAGCATCTTCTGGGGGCAGCACACATGAGCATGTGTGAGCAACAGCAGTAGACACCGACGTTCTCCGTACCCAAGCACAGAGAACAGCGTCGGCGGGCAGCATCCTAGGAGAGATGCCCCAAGTCAGACTTCCCCCAGGGGCAGGAGGTAAGATGAAGGCATTAAGCTACAACTATCTCCCTCTCTAGTTCAGGCACAGGCTTACACGGACTCTTCCTGCCTCACTTAGATGGTAAAACGTGAATTTGTGGCCCTGGGAAGTGCATTGCTTATTGGTGGAGGTGCGGGTCTCCAGGTCTCTTAGCCATTCCCCTCTAAAACGGAGAACTCCACGCAGATCCCAATACAGACTTAAAATTCTTAAAATGAGTTCAATACAGACTTAAAATGAGTTGCGTCTGCCCGCTGGCCAGGCTGCTGGCAGAGCGCCCCGCGCCAGGCTGGGCTCGGCTTGGCTGCGGCACTGAGGACCGGCGGCACGGCCTCTAATCCGAAGCTTCCTGGGAGAGGGAGGACGGGAGCAGCCCTTGGGCAATCGGTGCTCCGCTTTAAGGACAGCCCTGGCAGCGGGTTCCGCAGACGGGCAATATTTGGCGGCACGAGGGCCTCGTGGCAAGCGGTGTCGCGCAGAGCAGAGCCCGCTGCCTGGGCAGCAGCCTCCAGGAGCAGGCAGGCAGGCAGAGCACCACGCGTCCGCACGGGAGAAATCTCCCCAGCGGGATTTCTGCCATCCTGCTGGGCCCTCTCCCATCCGCACCAGAAGGGTGCTTTGCAGTATGATTGTATAGAATTTAGAGCATATATCAAATGAATGAGGTCGGACCATTCGATGCATCCAAACGGCGTAGTTATTCATGCGTTTACAGCTCTAGGAGTAGGCACGTTGCCACGAAAAGTCCCAATTTAAAATTCCCGAGGGAAAATTTTGCATCCCGGTGGAAGCCATGGATGCGTTCAGGGAATTTCCCTCTGATACCCGGACAGCGTTTCCCTTGAGCACACACCTGATGCTCTCCCATTGACCTTACCGGGCCAGTCCCTTACGGCGATTTTAAAAGCAGGGACTAGGTATTTAAAATCAAAGGGCAATTTAAAAATAGAAGCGACAGGAGCTGAAGGCAAGCAGTGCCGTGGAGGCGGATGGAGTTTTCCCTGCGGCTCCTGAGGGAGCAGCCCCTGCCCAGGCGTCATTTCGCCCTACCTGAGCCGTGAGCCTCCTCCAGCCTCTCCGAGTCCTGCGTGCTGAAGGGGATCCATCGCTCTCGGGAGTCCGTGACCTTGCAGTAAAACCAGTGGGGAACCACCGCTTCGTATCTGTTCGTGGCGTCCGGCTCCGCAGCCTCGGGGGCCGCGGGGGGCTGCGCCTGTTGCTGCTGCGGAGCGGACATGATGATCCTCCACACGCGACGGGAGACGCGAGTGGGTGAATTTAAAGAGCCTCAGAAACGCCGGTTCCGTCTCGAATGGAAAACGCTCCCCCCAAATCCCCTCCTGTCGCGGCGGGCCCGGGGGTAGCGGGGGGCCGGGCGCGGCGGCTTGTGCTGGTGCGGAGCGGCATAGATGCTCCTCCACACGCGACGGGAGACGCGAGTGGGTGAATTTAAAGAGCCTCAGAAACGCCGGTTCCGTCTCGAATGGAAAACGCTCCCCCCAAATCCCCTCCTGTCGCGGCGGGCCCGTTTTTGCACCGCCCCGCCGGGCTGCCGTCACGGGCGGGGGCGGGCGAGAAAGGAGCGGGGCCTGCCTGCAGCCCCTGCCCGCAACCCTGCCCGCTGCCCCCGGTGCACAAAGCCCCTGCCTGCAAGTCCTGCCCGCAGCCCTACCCGCAGACCCTGCCTGCAAGTCCTGCCTGAAAGCCCTGCCTGCAGTCCTGCCCACTGCCCCCGGCGCACAAAGCCCCTGCCCGCAGCTCTGCCCACTGCCTCCAGTACACAAAGCCCCTGCCTGCAAACACTGCCTGCAGCACTGCTTGCAGCCCCTGCCTGCAACCTCTGCCTACAGCCTTGCCCGCTGCCCCCGGTGCACAAAGCCCCTGCCCTGCAGACTTGCCTGCAACCCCTGCCTGCAAGCGCTGCCCTCAGCACTGCCTGCAGCCCCTGCCTGCAGCCGCTGCCTACAGCCCTGCCTGCTGCCCCTGGTGCACAAAGCCCCTGCCCTGCAGACTTGCCTGCAGCCCCCGCCTGCAGCTCTGCCTGCAACCCCTGCCTGAAACCCCTGCCCGCAGCCCTGCCTGCAGCCCTGCCTGCTGCCTCCGGTGCACACAGCCCCTGCCCGCAGCCGCAGCTCTGGGGAGGGTTGCGCGGCCCTCGCAGCTGGCAGCGGCCTGGGTGGGTCCGTGCCCAAACACCATCGCAGGTGGGTGATGCCAGCGCTAATTAGGCTAATTAGGACTCTCCGGCCTAAGTCCTGCCTTCAGGCCAGTCATCGCGCCCCGAAGCCGGATGCGGGCGGGCAGGGGTGCGTGGTGTCGGCGCAGCATCGCCGGGAAGCACATGCCTTCGTGCCAGTCGCCTCCCACGCGCGGCGTAGACAAACACTTGGGCATAGAGCAGAACCCACGAGATGCTGATTTAATGTTTGTTTTGCAATCTCTCCGTGCCCCTTTCGCCTTAGTGGGGATTGAGAAACGCTCTTCTGATGGTGGGTGTTGCTTGCAGAAGCGACAGGCAACCCCAGAATAAGAGTTTGGTTTCTGTAGAGATGAGCCTCGTGATAAATACAGAGACACGCTTTCTAATTTGGGGTTTTGTGATGTGGGTGGATGCTGTAAGATAAACCAGCTGCCAGGAATTGTCATCCCAGTGCTCACCTCCGCCACGGTGGTTACTGGCTGGGAAGACTGACTGGCCAGAAATGCTGAAATCCTCGGGTTTGCATCTGTAGAGCAAATGGCCGCAAACCTTGTCCGTGCAGCCTTGCCTGCGCAGGGCCCGCACCGGCTTGGTGCTGACACAGCTCCTGCCCGCGCCTCTGCTGCGGCGTCTTTCTCCTTTCAGATCGCCGTCTGAGCCGCGACCCACTTTGGTCCTGCTTTGAAGGAGACGGAAGGCGGCGGGGACGCGGCGGGGACGGACGCGGTTACATCAGCGGGAGTTTTCTGCAGGCTGCGGTGCGGAAGGTACGCCCTGATCCTGCTCTGTTAGGCTCAGCTTTGGGGGAAACACATAAAACCCAGCGTCTGCCTGAGGGACTCAGAAACGTCATACGCAGCCGCGTCTTCTCCTGGAGCTGTTCAAATACCCAGCCCCGCTGAACTGATAACCTGCCATTTCAGCCCACTTTTTGATGTTCTTCCATGTGCTTTTAACTGGAGGTTTACATAACGCTCTGCCACGTCCTTCCCACACGCGGGGACTTAAACTCCGGAAGAGGAAATATTGTAAAGGAATACGTTACCTCGATAGGTTCAGAAACCCACCTCCCTCCTTCCTCCCAGACTTTGTCTGGCTCGTATGCCACGCACATACTTTCAGTTTTTCCTACGAACAGCTAAAGGTATCGTTCTTGCCACGTCTCCACAGTGGGAAACCTTTGTCCCAGTCCACAGAGCACTGGTGACAGAGCAGCTGAGTGTACGCTTTTCTCTTCTCTCCTCGCTGACTGCATTGCAGTGCTACTGAGTGTACAAGGTATCAGGATTGCTCCACGCTCCTCCTCGCACAGCTAGAACCAGCTTACCCCTTTTCCCTGGCAACTGACAGGGGAGGGAAACGAGGACTAGAGCAAACAGGATGCAATAAACAATGCAGTTTTGTTCCTGATGCGATTGTTGCTACTGAAACAAATACAGAAAATAAAGTTTCGGCCAGCTCCGCAGATTCCAGACTAACTGAAGCTGGTAGTGGGCTGCTTCTTTTCGTGTACCTGTAAGCAGCGACTTGCTGCAGCGCTTCTGCTGATAACACCAACCTCAAAAAAGCAGCAGGGCTGACGCATCGCTGCCCTGTTTGTCCGTGGCCACCCCGCTCAAGTGACAGTCACAGAAAGAGCTGTGACACCGGTCGGTAGCGGGGAGGGAGGCCTGCCCCAGGGGCGGTGGCCGCTGTGCTCCTGTAGCAGCTCGCAGTGGGGGGGTGTGCGGGGTTAAAGCCAGGCTGCAGTTCTGCCCCTTCTTGGTGTGGTTTTATCAAGGGGTTGATGAGGCAAAGCAGGGGGAGACCCTGCTGTTCGGAGGAGTGTGCAGGAGGACTGCCGGCACCGTGAGCTGTCCTTCACAGCTGTAGCAGTCCTCCGTGCTGTAGAAGTCAATGCGCACTGATTGACGAGCTGAGCGATTTCACTTTCTCTGCTGAAGCACGACTGACGCACACCATCTCTTGCAACAACAAGTTTCAGACTTTGGCTAGATCCTGCCCAACAAAGGGAATCCAAACCTTCATTTCAACAGCCACGCCGACCAAATGAAAAAACAAATGTGGGAACAGAGGAAGAAATGAGCTCTTTGGTAATTCCTTAGAGAGCCCAAATGCGGTGAGACGGTGGCCTGGACTTGGCGCCAAACCTGAAACGGCTGGAGAGCGCAGCGGCGGGGTGGGGGGGTCACACCTTTCCTCAGGGCTGGCTCCGCTCCCCAGTATGAGTTATGGGGATCAAACCTGCATCCGCCTCCAGCAGAAAGGAGCGCCTTTGAGCCAGGTACGGGTGGTTTCAGAGCTCAGCGATGCCCTGTGCACCAAGGAGAACTGCAGCGGAGGCTGTTCTCCCCTCCCGCATCACCAGAGCTGTCCTTCCAAGCTTCCCTTCGCCTCCCGAGAGCACAGGCTCCCCCGCAGCCTCTGCCTGCTGCAGAGCGTGGTTTGGGCTGCCACCCGGGTACTGCGAGCCCAGCGGCTCATCCCGCGCCACCAGCTGCATTTTTCACTTCTTGACTTTTCTAGAAAGGGACAAGTTAGCTCTCTTTAGGTACTTACCTTCTTTACTTTTTCATCTCCTTCCTAGCCTTGTATAGACAAACCTTGCAGGAAATACTAAAGGATCAGAAGAATAGGACTCAATTAATCTGGAGCTGAGTCCGCTAGCAATCCCGTAGCACAAGGACTCAGCTTTCTGCCCCCACACCAAGCATTTCTTCAGAGTGGTTGATGGTTTTTCTTGCCCATATTCCCTTTCAAAAAAACCTAAATAAAGTTATTACTGTATCAAGCTAAGTCAGTGAACCCACAACAGTCTCTTGGGAAAGATTTCAGGACATTAGAGGCAGCATTTAACAAGATTTTCAACCATAAGATAAAATGAGAGGGGTAGAGACACCACAGTGCTGCTCTTCATTCATTTCAAGAGCCACTGGTAGCAAGGCTGGTTGTGTGGAAACCGTCCCTACCACGAGTATTTTCACAAAAAAAGAAACAAACCCAAAGCACGGATTAATTCCTGGAGATGCTGCTGACACTGCTGCCTTTATCAGAGAAAGAAAGGGGGTATTCACTGGGGCTGGGCCGTTGCTTTCTGTACACAGTATAGTAACAGGGCATCAGTCTGTTTATTGTCTTCTGCTTTATCTCCCAGTATAGCCCCCAATTCTCAGAAGTGGGATTTCATGCTGTATCCGAAGCACGGATAGCTTGGCCTGGCTGCTCTCTGCCTGACAAGAGGATGAAATGAAATAGCAAGCAAGCATTTATCCATCCCAGGACATTCAGCTCCCTCCTGGCTTGGACGGGGCCGTTTTTGCAGGCTGACCGCCACATGATCACGGACACGTCCAACGAGCTGCAAAGGTCAGTCCCGTGCACGCAGCCGCGTCTGGGAATGATGTGGGATTTGCCGGGTGCCTTCAGGACATCGGCTGGCCGTCAGCCCGCAGAGCACATGGTCAGGGCGCTCCCAGCCTCGGGTGTGCCCAGACCCCTCCCAAAACACGGCCACCGGCCCTAGGGCCACGGCTGAGGGCTCCTGGAGCATCTGCACCGCTTGGGAGGCGATGGGGGCCACTGGGGCACCCCCCCAAACAGGCATTCTCAGGGGTAACTTGCTGCATTTATCCCTAACCTCGGCCGCTGAGACAGCCTGGCTGGTGTTTTGGTTACAGGCAGGTCTAAGTTACACAACCTTGTCCACAACTTCTTTTTGAAGAAAAGAGACTTCGAGACGTCTTAATTACAAAATGACATTTAAAAGTTGTCAGGGTTTATTATCTCGTCACACAGAGTAATGATTCACTTAACATGTTGTAACCAGAAGGTTAACAGTAGGCTGAGCCCTTCCCTTCCCCTCCGCATTGTACAGTGCCACGAGTATGGCGTTGCAGTGGATACAAAACTCGCAGTATGTGGAAGGACGTTACCATTAAAAAGTGGATTTTTACCCAAGTGACCTGGAAAGCATTTCCAAGCATCCTGCCGGTTCGGGCTGCTCTGCTCTGACATCGTTCCTCTGCTTGTACCTGTCCTTTTCAGTGGCAGAACTGAGATTTCCAGGCTGTGTTCCCGTGTCCGCGGGGGATGCCACGGACTGGCTCGTCACGACAGAAGAGGAGCAGCATGACGTGACATCGGCTTGCATCGCCTGGGCTGCCAGCGTGGTCCCTTTCTGCAGCACTTCAGTGTAGCTACTTGAGTGCACTAAAACCAAACAAAACCCCACGACGACACGCAAGAGTTTATGGCAAGGAAGCTGAAGCTGAACGTACATGCAGTGACTGACAAGCCTAGAGTCTTGGTTTGTGGCTGCACGTTGCAGGACCGTTGTGACCACATCTGACAAGTCTTCCAGCTGTTTAAAGAACTGCTGTGGCTGCAGGAGGCACCTCGAGATTGGCTCTGGTTTGGGGAACTTTGTACAGTGATTTTCTTCCTTTTTGAAGAGGATGCGGATCCCCACGGAGACCTCTACAGCCTAAGTACCTTGGGTGGTGCTGCTTTTCCAAAGCCTGGAACAAACAAACAATTCAGTTTGCTGCTTCAGACCTCCCTTAATTTGTCTGTTGCCAAGTTATTTGTTGGGCTTCTGGGTTGGTGGGGTTTTTTTTTGGTGGTTTTGTTTTGTTTTTTGAACTCGGGGCTTATTGCTATTCCATTGTCAATAGTGCGTAGCAGAAAAAGCTGAGATTTAACAGAACTAAAACTCTTTGGAACCTCAACAACAGGCTGTGTGTTGTGGCTGATGTGCTTTCACAATCCCTTTCTTTCCAGTTTTTCCAGTATGGCCTGAATTCTGTGGACGGACTCTTTCCTGGCCTGCCGAACACTGTCCTGGCCACCAGTCTCGATGGAATCCAGTTCCAACAGCAGCTTGGTCAACATCTCCTCCAAAAGCCGGTAGGATTTATCTGTCTTTTTTCCGACAAATTCATCCACCTCTTCCTCCAGCTGTTCAGCCTCCCCCATAACGTGGAGGATTCTCTGAATCTCTGGCTGGATGGCTGCAGAATTTGTTGAAGGCTGGTCACCAGGTTTGAAAACAGCCTCCCGGTTCCCAGCCAAAAGCTTCCGAGATGCACTGTCATACATTTGGGGCTGTGCGCTGTACTGCACCTTGGGGTTTGAGGGGGATGGCTTGGCGTTGAGCGGAGTGCCTGGCCTGTGGTCATTCATTGTCCCAGAGTGCTGGTGATTGACATCGGAATAGTAGTTGTGTTGGTTCACACTTTGCTCAGGTTTGTCGTAAGCAGTATCCTACAGTCAGAAGGGGGAAAAAAAAAAATCTTTAAGTGCGTTTCCCTTAAAGCCAGGTTTTTAATCTTGCGCTCCACAGGCAGGCAGGGCTGAGGGAACTGGGCAGCAGGTGACACCGTGACTGCTTTGAGGTGAGCATGCCTGGGAGGACAGGGCAGACCGGGTTATGCACGATGTTACCAGGGATCTGGGCAGCATTTTCCAGACTGTCACACACCGTGATGTCATAACACATCACGTCCCTGCGGGCTGGCACCCTGTGTCCTGCCAAGTGGGCTGGTTTCTGCGAGGAGTCCCAAAGAGGGAGACGGGACCCACGCTCGTCCCTGGCTGTTAAAGAGCAGATCCCCGGCAAGAGGCACGTGCCTAGAAGAAACAGTGTGAGCCACTGAACGCTCGTTACCTGTGACCAGGGGAGATGCTAAATAGATTTCAACACGGTCCCATTTGGATATTCTGCAGAAGGCCCTTCTCTGCAGGTAGCACACTTTTGAACCGTTCCCAAATATTAGCAGCCCCCAGCCCCGAATCCACACATCCCCCCATCAGGGCTGCTGCTGCACGTGCCAGCGCTGCTGCCAAGAGTCATTTGACTCCTGAGCAAACCCAGAGGAAGCCGAGATGAACGGACCCCACCAAATGCATCATCTCCTTAGATTTGTTTTTGCTTAAAACATTCCTCAGTAGAGGATGACCGTGCCCAAACCAAGCACTTGTAGAGGAATAGCAGAGTCTGCAAACCGACCCGCAGGTTAGTCCCACACTCTGCAGGAGGATTTCTGACAGCGTTAGCTGCTTGAGGAAAAAGAGCTGGACAAGCAAGACAAGGTTTGACCCATTTCAAGACCTGCCCTGGGACGTCTGGTATCTCCAGTACCTTTCTGGAATTACAGCCGTGGATTTTGGTATGCAAATAGATTTTGCTGGCAGTACCCTGGATACCTGCTGCTTTGTTTCTACCTAAACTAACTGTGCTCGGAGAAAGGGGCATTCCCAGGAGACAGAGGCAGGCTTTGAGGAAAGCTCTATAATCTAGGAGGTCTGAGCGCAGCCGGGACTCAGCACAGGCGCTGTGGAAGCATCAGCTGTACCTTAGAGTCCCACGCAGGAGGGTGGGAAGGAGCTCCACTGCTGGTCCAGGATGGGTGCGAATCGGAGCTGAAGAGGTTCCCATGCACCGAAGCAGCGGGCCACGCGTAACGCGGCTGCACCCCATAGACGGTGGGGGGAGCCCACGTCTCCTCCGGGGGTCTGGGCTGCGGCGGAGGCCCCTGCGGCGTGACCCCTGGGTTGTTGTCTCCGTATGGATACTGTGGGATGGGCATTCCCGGGGTCTGCAAGAAAAGGGGGGTACAGGCGTTACCCCTGGAGTCACTCCGAGCACCGTTCCCTCCAGACAGCCCTGGGAACCGCTGCAGCATCAGGCTTGCTGCCCGATTCCTGCTTTCCTAGCCCACAAGCTCGGAGTCTCGGGAGAATGGGGTGACCACAAGTTTTTATAAGAATAAAACCAGGCAGGGCAAGCTGCTCAAGGCACAACAGCCATTAGGACCCACGGATCCATCGGAGGAGGCACTGTGGGCTTCCCCTCCGCTGCAGCCCCATAAAACAACTTCTTGTGCCCCGGGAACTGCAAGCCCGGCAGCTGCACCGACACCGGGGCTGGAAATTGCTGTGGCCGGTGCCCGGCTTCTTACCTGCGGTGGGGAGTAGCCAGGAATCTGCTGTCTCCTGAGAGAGGACCCTTCGGCGGGGCAGTCCGGCGGGGCGTAGCTCCAGGGGGGAGCGGGCGACGGGGGCCGGTACATGCCCGCGGACTCCGCAGGGTAGGGGGTCCGCGGGGGCCCGGAGCCGTAGTACCCCCGCGTAGCCCGGGGCAGCGCCGGGAGCCGGAGGGTATGGGGGGCTGTAGGCTCCGTTTGCGTAGGGAGAATCCATTGCCTGGGGAGAAGGGAAGAGCAGACGAAAGGTGATGGGCTGTGGACACGGGGCAGAGGGGCTCCGGTCCGGCCCAGCAGCAGCCCGGGGAAAGAGGACTGACCCTTCCTGCAGCGTTTAACTAGGGGGTTCCTTCGTCCCCAAGCTGATTTGCCCCAGTTTTAAGTTTTCCTGCTCTAACGTGGCTTGGTGTTGGCCACTGTCTGCCTCACGCTTTGGTCCCACTGCCCTCGCAGCACGCTCGGGGAGACGGGCAGCGTCAGGGGCATTGCAGGGGGACCGATTTGTCTGGAGGGTGGGAAGAGAGGGGGTACGCTAAGCTTAACCATGCTGCACTCAGCTAAGCTTTGCTCAGAAATACGCCTACAGTTCCTCCCAGCAAGCAGCCCTTAGGAGGTTCAACCCCGTCCATGTAGTCACCGACTGGTGGATGAAAAAAAAAAACTCCAGGAAAGTTCCTTTCCTCTTCCAGTCTGCAAACAGAAATGATGCAAGCGGACGAGATCTACCAGTTCTGGGGCCCGAGGGTGTTCGGATCACCGAGCCGCAGCCGCGGGAGCAGCCGGCTTGGAGAACTTGTCGTACGAAAGGTCTGTGCGTCCAGAAGGTTTGTGAGACATTATCGGAATACATTCAAGTAATCAATGTGTATTGAACGTGAGCTTCCATCTAACCACGGAGGCGACGATTAAGCGCTAGGATTTCAGGAGCTCACGGATGACTCCCTGTAGCTTTGGGCAAAGCAGTTTTTTGCCCGCGAGCTGCTTCACGGAGGAGAGGTTGCATCACCTGCGTGCCGGGATTTATGAAAGAGCCGGATCAAACCTACACATCCCATGGGATTAAAACAAACCACAGTTATGTCTGGACAGCAGACAACCTCTTTGGAAAGAGTAAAGCCTTTCTCTTCAGACAGTATTTACGCAATAGCCCCTAAAAAAGAGTTATTGCTGCAATAAGAACAACAAGTAGATCCCGAGAAGGGCAAATCATGGGACCGGGGTGCAGCAGGATGGGTGATGCTTTTTTCCCCGCTCTGCCCCGAGTTTGCCATCCCTTTCCGCCGGTGGGGTCTGTCGTACAAACGCCGCCGTTGACGCGGCCGGCGTCTTTAGTCTTGGAAGAGGGGGACGTGGCCGGGATCGGCTCCTCCAGCCTCGCGCTCGCGCCGGGGAAGAGGCAGCGCCTGCCCGTTGGCGAGGGGCCGGTTAGCCGGGACCGGCACACGCCGGGGCCGGCCATGCCCAGCTCTCACCGGGCACCCGGGCAGCAAAGCAGCCGGCGATGGCGGCGTTTCCCCGGCGATCTCTTCGTTAAAATACGTGCCCTAGAAATGTCACCTTGAACTGGAGATGAAGGTAAAACCTGCCGGCGTTCATCGCTTTACGTGTTTTCCCCAGCTGGACACCTGCCCGACCCTCGTGGGCCGGGAGAGCGGATTTTTAAGGCAAACGGATCCTTTTGGAAATCAAGCCACGGGAGCGGAGAAAAATACCTAAGTCGGGCTTCAGGAGGTAAGAGCTGAGCTTAAAGACCCGGACAGCACTCACGGCTCCGCGCCGCTGCCCCGGGTGCGCTGGGGGAGCGGTAACGGCGGCGCAGCGCTGACCCGGAGAGCCGGGCTCCCTCCTCCCCCGGCGGCGGAACCGGCCCGGTCGGGTCGGTAAGGGGGGGCTCGGGCCCCCGCGAGCGGGGGGGGGGGGAGAAGGGGGGCGGCCCGACCCCCCCCC